TTCACGGGATACGCTGCGCAGCTATGTCGTATCACTTGGCTCGCGGTGTACGCACACGAGGGGCGCCTTCGATGCAGCGGCATCAATGCATAACGACAGAGAAGCGGCCTTCATACTACCAGGAAGCACTTGCTATCTCGCGTAATAACTGTGCGGTTTCAATGCGTAGCCACAGGAAAGCCCCACATACTACCAATACGTACTCCACTCGTTCTTGTGATATACGCTATAACAGCTATGCCGTACAAATTCCCTTGCTGTGTACGCACAGCCCGTGGCACCAGCGGCAGCTTCAGTGCATAACCAAAGCAGCGCCCTGCATACTACCAATACGTACTGCGCCTTCATGTACTAAGCTATAGCAGCTACGTGGCGAAACCTTGCCCGAGGTGTACGTACACCTAATCACGGACGCGGCAGCTTCGATGCATGACGACAGAATAGCGCGCTACATACTACCAAGAAATACTACACTCCTTCATGTAACACTCTGTGTGGCCACATAATATAACTTCTCCTGCGGCGTACGTACACCGCCCCCTCGTCAGCAGAGGGCCAGCTTCAACGCATGGCGTTTAAGCCGCGACTCTACTTGCTATCAGTAGTAGTACACTCCATGTAATACGCTATGGTAGCTATGTCGTGTACCTTTCCCTGCGGTGTACGTAGACCTCATCACGAAAGCGCGCCGGCTACGGATCGCTGAGACACAGCAGGGGCGCATGTGCACCCGAGGCGCATGTGTACACTCGAGGACGCGATACGTTTACGAGCCCCCTTACGACCCTAATGCAGCAGTATTGAGGGGAGCACCCGCAGCAATAGCAGCAGGAGCAGAAGTAGCAGCACAAGCGGGAGCAGCAGCAGCAGGAGGACAAGCAGCCGCAGCAGCAGCAGCAGGAGCCGCGGCAGCAAGACCAGCAGCAGCAGGAGTAACAGCACTAAGAGTGGGTGCATTAACAAACCGCTGAACAGACAGTTAGCACCCATATATGCAGACTGGAAGAACCATAAGGATGCAGCTATCATACTAGAGCGAGCATGCTACTTCTGGGATACGTCTTCACATATCATCCTCCGCATGCATCCTCCCCTTTATATGCAAAGTCATCCTTATATGTAGTGAGCTATCATATATAGGTCACGCCTGCTGACACAAATATCCCCATCACCAACTCAACAGTGCAAACTGGCGTCCTGGCAGTGCCAGCAATGCTCCTATACGCGTACACCTTCGTACATCATTCTCTGCAAGCGTGCTCACATACCATGCCTATTATGTGCAGTCATCTTCATGTGTGGATAGCTACCCTACACAGGGCAAATCTGCTGACACGCATTCCCTCACAAGAAATTCAACAGTGCACGCCTGCGTACAGGCAGCGGTAGCAAGTCTTCAATATGCAGATACATCTCCACATGTAATCCTCTGCACGTATCTTCAGGTTTCGTGCTTTAGAGACGCAAGCAGATCTCTGTATAGCATGTTCTGCAGTTATCCTCAGCTTTTCCAAACGCGAGGAGACCTCTGTATCAGCCTCTGCAGAATATGTACATGTATCATCATCTTTAATTATGTTTATAGGTCGTGCCTTCAATACGTACGCACATCTTCAGACACTTTCCTCTTGAGAATTTCTATGCACATTATCTTCTGCAAAAAGCTTCGTATCCTACGCCTTCCACACGCAAAAGGCTCTTCAAGTATCATTTCCTGCATAGTATATATGTATGTATATATTCCCGTAGCTCATGCTCTGCAGCGCATCCCCAGAGGCGCATCCCCAGAGACGGCAGCTGCTCTCTGTGTGCGTATATACTTGGATAAAGCAGGCGCGTGCGTGCCTACTCTAATTGTATACACATACCTACACAAGTCTGCGCATGTTCTCACGTATACTAATATATATAGAGAGAGATAGATAGACATATATACATACATATGTATGTATACGCATGTGCGTGATTTCATGCATATCTACATATGTGTACGTGTGTATACGAATGTATATATGCATATATATATGTAAATACGGGCAGGTGTGCACGGCTACAGGTGCGCATGCGCCTACTTTATGGACATATGCACCTCGATTCATACACAAATGCCTGTACAAGCATACGTATGTTCTCACATAGACATATATATACATATATGTATATGCTGTCCATACACTCGTGCATGTGTACACGTGTTCACATGTGTGTATACAATTACGTATGTGTGCATACGTATATCCGTATGTATGCTGATGTACCTGCAGCTGCTGCCTCTCCAGAAGCAGGGGGTGGCGTCGAAAGAGGAGCTTCCTCTATTCTGCTGGCAGTGGGGCCAGTAGTAGCTGCGGCGGCTGCTGGAGCTGCTGTTCCTTCTTCTTGCTTGCTTGAAGTCAGGTTTGTTGCATCTGCTCTTCCTGCACCAGCAGTAGGAGCAACACGCTCTCCTGCTGGTGTTGTTGTCTTCGCTTGACTTGAGAAACAGCCCCCCATGTTGAAGGAAGCGTAAAAGAAGGAAAACGAAGAAAACGAAAAGCTAAAAAGTAAGCGGGGGGACTCGCCGCAGTAGCAGCAACGGCAGCTGAAGCAAAAGCAGCAGCAGCAGCAGCAGCGGCAGCAAGACCAGCAAGCGAGTCGTATACGACTCCTCCTTTCTCGATATCAATTACCGCAAGGGTTTTCCTCTTAAAAGAAAGTAGCAGCAGCAGTAGCAGCCGCAGCAGCCACAATACATCTCTATCCGCGAAAGAAGTGAGACTATTACCAGTCCACCACGGGACGACAAGCACGCAACGAAAACAACAAGGCAAGTATTAGTCGTACTCGTCCTACACGAACTCCTTAAACTATCAGCAGCAGTTACACGAATATTATGCCCGTCAACAACACAACAGCAGCAGCAACACTAGTATTATTCCCAACAGCAGCACAGGTGCAGCAGCAGCTGCACCAGCGCGGGTCTCACTATAAACAGCGACAACACAGCAGCACGAGTGTTACTACTCTCAGCAGCAGCAACAGCAGCGGATGGGGAGGCCCTGTGATGGAAAGATGGCCACGTTTTGACGTGCACCACGGGCGCCAACACACCGCGGAGGAACCAGCTTGACTTGGCTGCGGCACAGCAGTGGAAGTTCGAGCTCTTCTAAACCGGGGGAGGAGGCAGGTAGGCGGAGGATAGAAGTGGCAGCAGCGGCAACTCTGACAAGCAGCAGCCAGCGAGCGCTTGTGCCTGATAAAAGAAAGGAAAAAAAACAACGGGGGAAGTAGCTGGTGCGCAGCAACAACAGGAGCCGCAAAATTATCGACAGACCCCCCGCTGCAGGAAAAAAGCGATTTCCGCAGTCTCCAACGCAGTGAAGGGAAACAAGATAGGCGACAAAAAGCAAAATACGTAAAAAGTATAGGAGAGAACGAAGAGCGACAAAGCTATGAGTATATATATGTGTTTATCTATATATTTGTATGTATGTATATATATATGACTACGGGCGCACAGGCGCGTGCTTAGCGGCGACGAGAGACGACGGACAGCAGTGCAGTCGCCGAGAGCGAGCGGCGCGCGCAGCTTTCCTTGCTGCTGCTGCTGCTGCTGCAGTTTTCCTTCTTCTTTTCCTTTTTTCCTCTTTTTCTCCTTTTCTCCCTTCTTCAACGAGGAGTATACATGTTATAATAGGCGTCGTAAAAATACGAAAGAGGAAAAAGTGGGAGAATAACCCGAAAATGGAAACCACATCCTGGGTGAAATTGTAGTAGCACCAGCAGAGAAGTCGCTGCTGCTGTTGGGGCCGCAGCACAAGCAGCAGGAAGGCCAGCGCCAGCAGCAGCCACTGCAGCTCAAGCAGCACCAGCAGCTCGAGTAGCACCCGCAGCACAGGCGCGCTCGGCTGCACTCAACAACACGTGGTTGTAGTGATAGTAGTAGTAGCCGCACTACTAGTCGCAGTCGTTGTTTGAGTGGTAGTAGTTGCATAGTAGTAGTAGCAGTAGTACTCGTAGCAGCAGTAGTAGCGGTACTATTAGTAGCCCTTTTTCAGTAGTATTTGTGATAGCAGCTGTCGTAGTAGCAGTAGTACCAGCGGCAGCAATGGCAAAGCCGGTCGCACGCGCAGCAGCAGCGGCACCGGTAGCCGACACCCACAGAACCACGCAGACGAAGTGTAAATAAGCGAATAATCACGACCGCGACAGCAACTGAAAAGGTTCATTACTTCTCATCAACGAAACATGAATTTTTGAAGGTGAACATCTTCGTACACGCCAACTACTAAGTTTAGTAACGCGCTGCAGCTAGCGAAGTGCTGCTCAGGTCGACGTAGCAACGCAGCTGCAGCACACGCAACGCCAGTGGACCTGTTGCTGTTGCCGCCGCTGCTGCTGCTGCTGTTGTTGTTGCTGGTGCTGCTGCGGCTGCTGCTGCTGTTGCTGCTGCTGTTGCTGCTGCTCTTGCTGCTGCTGCTGCTGCTGTTGTTGTTGCTGCTGTTGCGGGTGTTGCTGCTGTGGCTGCTGCCTGTACCTTGCTGTGTTGCTGTTGCTGTGTTGCTGCTGCCGTTGCTGTTGTTTCCCTGTTCTTCTTCCTGTTGCTGCTACTGTTCCTGTTTGGTGCTGCTCATGCTGTTTGCTGCTGCTGGTGCGGTTGCTGCGTTGCTGCTGGGGCGGTTGCTGCTGCTTCCGCTTAACAATGGCTATGCTGGCTGCTTGTAAAGCAGGAAATAACAAGCGCGCCAGGACCCTCAAGCAGCCGTAGCAGCTGCAGCCATTGTTGGCGCTGGTGCAGCAGCTGCAGGGGCTGCAGCAGCAGGAGGGAAAAGAGCCAGCAGCAAAAATCCTAGTGGCGCGGTGTGTCACGAAGAAGACAATCAACAGGAAGAAGGATAAGAAGAAGAACAGCAAACAGCAGCACGAGCAACAGCAGTACAGCAGGTCTACAGTGAAGTGGCAGTGTTGCTGTGGCTGCAGCAGCGCCAGGCGCCTTTATGAATTGGTCCAAGTTCGTAGGAAGAATGGCGACATCAAAGAGCAACGCGTCAGCGCTGCTGCAGCAGCAAAAACGGAGAACAGTTTCCTCGTGCGCAAGAAGCAGCGGAGGAGAAGTGCAGCGGGAGACGTATCCTCTCATCATCGTTACCTTCATCGTCACCATCATCATCATCATCTTCATCTTCGTCATCTTCATCGTTTTCATCTCCTTTGTTATGGTCATCTTGATTACCTTCGTCTTCACCATCTTTACAATCATCATCGTCATCATCGCCATATCTTTTTTTTGCTCCTCCCACAACGGCAACAGCAACGCCATCATCATCGTCATCTTCCGCACCATCATCGCGATCGCAGTACCGCGAAGCAGAAAACAAAGCAGCAACCGGAATCGCCGCCGTCATCATCGCAGTAAGGCGACAAAAACAACAACAACAGCAGCAGCAGCCCTCACCGTCATCCTCGTCACTATGGCGATAAGACAAGTACACACGGAAGAGGTCACACATAAGAGAGGAACCGTCGTTTACATTCATCGTACATATATATGTATATACATCTGTGTTTGCATACATCTGCATGTATATATATCTGCGCACCCGGCAGTGACCATCATCATTATACGGCAACATGTACACAAGGAAGAGGTGACCTTTAGCAGAACAGCACCGCAGAACACGCCGAGGGTGGTAATTACGTGTGTACATATATATATATATATATATATATATATGTATACGTAGGTATATATGCGCCCAGCCCTCATCATCTTCAGTATCGCAGTAAGGCAGCAAGGACACATGAAGGAGGTCACTCATACAAGAACCACACGGAGAGCCCGATGATAATGGTTCTTATATATATATTTATCGATATAGATATATGCACCCAGCCGCTATCATTCTCATTAGTATCGCAGTCCGGGACCAAGTACACAAGGAAGTGAGCACTCATAGCAGAACACGACGCGTAAACGGCTGGCGACGGTCGTCATATATACATAGAGATGCATATATTATATATATATATATTATATGTGACGTACATATCAAGTGTATGCACCCAGCCACCTTCATCATCATCATCTTGGCATTGAGGCTTCACATGCAGGAGGTTCCTCCTTACAGAACAACATCGAGGAGCCCCTTGGTGGTAGTCATCCTAGGAGTGTATGTAAATATAACTGTGTATGTATATATATGTGTATGTGCACTCAGCCATTGTCGTCAACATTATGATCACTCACTAGATCCTGTCTACTGGTAGGACTCGGTGTTCACCACCTAGAGTGCGCCAGCCCCATCTTCGCTTCCTTCTCCACTGGGTCCTCCTCCTTCTTCTCTTTCAGCTGGTGGCGATCCTCTTCTTTCAGCTGTGGGCGGCCCTCCTCTTCCGCCTCCTGCACCTCCTCGTTGCCCTCCGCTTCCCTCTTGGCTCGCTCCATCTTCCTCTTTGCAGCTCCAAAAAAAACTAATTTTTCATAATGTATTTTCAGGAAACAAACTACCGCCACCAGCAGCACCCCGGAAGACCGCGCAGGACGAACAACTACGAGAAAAGCATTTCCTTTACCAGTAGTACACTGTTGCTTGCGCTTCGAAGTAGTTTGGCTAGTAGACGGTCCTGAAAGGAGTGACGGACTCACGCGCAGGAGTACTCTGTTGCTTGCGCGGTAGAGCACCTGCAATAGTAGTACTGCTGGTACCGAGTCGCGGAAATAGTGACGGAACATCATTCCCTACAGCCGCGCTACTCTGTTGCTTATATTCTAGAGCTTCCCGTTGTAGACTCGCTAATACGTAGTCGTGGAAGCCGTGACAGGGCAACCACCTTTACAGCAGTACTGCCCTGCTGCTCACAATCTAGAGCTTCTCGACGTACTGCTGCTACACGGTCACAGGAAGAGTGAGAAAATCTCATCCATGCAGCAGTGCTACCTTATAGCACTTCAAAGCAGTAACACTGTTGGTTCCTGATCGTGAGAACAGTGACAGAACAACATTTCTTCGAGCAACTGCCACCTTATTCCCTACGCTGTGGAGCACCTCGTTGTAGTGTTAATCCTTCACGGTCGTAGAAGCAGGAAGGAAACTGCATTACTCGAGCAGTAATACTGCGTTGCTTACTCTCCAGAGCGCCTCAATGTAGAACTGCTACTACATTACCATAAAGAGGGGCCTGCGTCCAGTTAACAGCACCACTAACAGGAAACGGAGCGGCCAGGCGGTGACGCCTCGCACGCGCGTGATGGTTCGTACAGCATTATGAATGTTGTTCGTTTAGTAGAAGTTGTTCTTCGTCGCCTCCTGCCAGTCGTATGATGCGCCGCCCCCGTGAACGTGGACTGCGCGGAGACACTACCACACACGCACGTTTATAGGGCGTATCTGTATACAGATGCATATATACATATGCACATATATACATTATATATATATATATATATGCATGTATGTGTGTGCATATGCCGGCGTGCATGCGTAGGAGCTCCACGATAGTCGCCGAGAGATTCTGTCTAAATTCGCCTATATATGCCACGCTAAGCGCTGTCTGAAATTGTAAGGACACGCGGTTAGGAGGGAATCCGTATCATGTCCTCACACGTATCACGTGCCTATATGGCTAACTACAGAGGTGAGCTGCGCCTGAAGCCGCTTTCGCGCACAGTAAGACTAGACGTGCAGGTAGAACTTCCGGCGGGCGTCGCTCCTACGATTGAGACCGTCGTACTGGATGCATTCGAAACAGCGTGGCTACATATACGGATTCACGTATAAGCACGCGTTCATGACGGGGGCTTCCAATATGCAGTAGCAGTATAACAACGCATATTTCGTCCCAAGTGTAAGCTGACAGGGAAGTACGAACCTCTAGCACACTGCGAGGCGCGAGACCCCCCTGTGGGCGGCGCCGGGTATTCGTTGCTTCTAGTTACCAGACTTTGTTTGTGCCACATGGCTATCTCCGACTTCCACGCGCATCAATAAAGCGCTCGTTACCGCCCATAGAAAAGTGCGCATGCACAGCTGATGGCGCTATTTCAAAGGCACCTTGAGGCCAGAGTAATCCGACGACCTTTGACTCCTCCCTACGGGTGCACACGAAGGACAGGTCTTGAGCGTGCTACTTCACTCTAAATCGGGTGGCTATTATGTTCTCCATGTCCACGATTGCCGCAAATTGCGACAGTGTTCTTTGGGCTATGCATATATATATGCATGATACATTCATGCGTACTCCCTTTTTCGGAAGCATACATGCGCAGATCCGCATATGGAAGCTCAGCGGAATTTTATGAAACAACGACGCTCACAGCGCTGGACTCTGCCGTACGTTCACTTCATATTACCACGCCCATCTTGACAGACGCCCCCTGCAAGGGTCGGCGGGCGAGCAAAAACATACATAGCTGCAACACACGCTCTCCTATTCCCTCGAGAAGGAAGAACCGCCGTTCCCACGGTACAGCAGTTGTCGCGACTGTGGACGCCGAAGAATTCAAACGAAGCCAATTAGGTTTCAAGACATCACGAGCAATAAGCTCGTCAAACAGTTATCAGAGCGAGTACGAGACCACCTCCAGAAAGTGCGTATATCTACGCAAACAAAGGCACATTACGTCGGCGCAAAATCGGTTTAGTGCGAAACTGCGTGAACACGATGACGTACACAACACACGCAAATACAACAATACACTCCGCGCGCGCGGAGGCTCGTGCACGAGAAGGTTTCTGCACGTGAACAAATACGGATGATACCCATCCGTACAAGTAGATCCATCGAGTTCTGCAGAGAGCCTATCAAGGGGAACCTACCCCGACGCTTAGACGCGGTGCCTCCCGTGGTGAAACGTCCGCCTACTCGCCACCGGCTTTCTGCAGACCCTGCGCCTGCGTTGTCCGGGGTTTTCTACGTGAGTCAGTTTAAGAAGTTACAACCTTCTACAAGGCGCCCTAGGGAAAGTCTGTGAGGCCGAAAGATCCACCAACGTGAAACGGCTGCCTGTTCGTCCTGTAGCGCGCTCGATATTCCCCGCCACGCCAGATAAGCAAAAGTCCGCAGTCACTCCGTTAACCGATCAACGCCCGCGCCAGAGAATGCACGCGTGGGCGCTGGAAAAACACACAATGCTTTGTAGTGCTCCTCACTTTGCCAGGACAGCCCCCTTCAGACCAGGATGACGGCCGCACGTAGCGCACTGATAAGAAGCGAATATGCTTGTCCAGTAGGTGATTTTTCGTGAAGAGCACCACAATGAAATGCGTATGCGCCTACCGGCAAGCAGCCCCCTTGTTGGATAGACCATTGTTCGGGGCAGCATACGGCATTTCCTGCGTATCGAGATTAAAACCGCACGTCGTTGAAGCAGTCACTTCGCCGGCGCTGCAGAGGCTTCGACCAGGTAAGCAATGAGGTCTGCTCTTTCTTTCTCCTTCCTGATGCCAGCGAACACCATTTTCGTTCCAGGAATGTAGGTCTTGGGGTTTAACAGATACTCCCACAGATGCTTCGGGGACCATACTATGCCACTTTGCTTATTTGCCTCGGAGTACGGGAAATCTGCTTTCCCACTCTCCCGCCCAATAAAACCATGAAGATTAGGCCCTTGCTTCGCCGGCCCGCCTGAAACAAAAAGCACCAACAAATGGGCACCGCGGGTGTCAATGTTTACCAGGGGATTGAACGCGTACTAGAGCAGAACCGAGGCAACCGACAGATATACGTGCAGCCACAAGAATAAAGTAGAAGTGCGCAAAGCATAACCCGTCCTCATCGCCCGTACGGAACTCACAAAAGGTACCCGGATAAAGACCGCACAGACAAGAAGATGTTCTTTACTCCGCTGGGGCGAATTTGTGTTACGAGGGATCGCCTGGACTGTAGTCGTGCCGTAGCGTCCAACAATCCTCTTCCGTACGCGAACGTTGTATCTTCCTCTGATGCCGCATCAGATACTCGCAAACGGATGTGAGTTCAGAGTTCTTCGTCAGCACCTTCTCCCTTCTTTCCAAGCGGCACACGTTCTCACAGTCGGGCGCCCGTTCTTCCGTCCAAAACTCGTACACAAGCACCTCTACAGAAACACACACTTCGACCCTCCGCACGATACAGCACGAGAGCCCGTCCTTGGCGCAAAACATTTCCGCCTCGAGAAAAAAAAAGCTGTTTTCTGTCACTGTACAATGTCCTCTCGCCCTGGAGCGCTCTTCCCACTAATTAGCACAGTTTCCAATTATCCTCTACACACCGCTTAGAACGCCCACTACCGCCCGCCCCCCGCAGTATGTGTAAAAGCGACAAGCGGACTCGTGGCAGAGCCGCAGATAAACGACGTCTGCGACTCCTGTGAGCTCGATTTTACCCTAGAAGGTCGAGGAAACCGCCACGAGCGGCAGGAGCACACAGACTCCTCCCCGATCCAGGCAACTGCTGGAAAGCCTCTACCACAGTGCGGGGATCCGCGTTCACCATGAACCCCACCTATGACGGAGGGGCACAGGCATTC